TCCGCTAATTCCTTAATTCTATGTCAATTCCTACTGCACCTGAAGAAGGCTGGTTTGGCCAGCCGAAACACAGTGCTCCGTTTTAAAACTTATCTACGTTGTATCGGTCTTGCCTCTATATTAAAATCTAGACCTTGTAGACCTTTTCTTCTGAGCCATTTGATCGCGAAAGTGAATTTCTTAACCTTTAAACACCTCCATATTTTAAGGTATAACACTTGACGCCCACCGTTTAAATTTCCCCACCCTCGCCAGGCAAGGTTAAAAACTCCCCACCCTCCAGGCGATGGTCAAACGCCGGTGGGTTACGGGGAAGGGGAAGGGTAGTTGAGGCTTCGAATAAGTCGGCGCATAAATGAAAGTGAAATAGGCTGAGAAATGTTTTTTTCCTGTGGTTCCTCGTGAATGCTTATATAGTCAATTCATTTTTCTATCAATTTCCGTCTTTAAAGTAAATAAATGAAACATCATTATACTCTGCGATGTTCGTATATTTCTTCAGACCTGACTACGTGGTGTATTATTCCATGAAAATTGTCGACGGTTTCATCAAGATTTTCTATACTCAATTTCTGGCTAAAATAACCTTCAGGAAATAAATGTCGCTTATCTTTTTCACATTATTTATCACATTTTGGTCGAAATTCATTTCAGGTCAAACGTGTTCCTCTCAAACTAATCCCTCCTCAAACTATCACTGACCATATTTGCTTGTGCAAAGCTTGTAGAAGTTGTTCAGTAGTATAGTACATGGGGGAATCGGACCTTTTCAAATGATCTAAAAAAAAATGACACTTTCAATGAAAATTTTTGTACTATGTTTAAAAAATTCGCGATCAAAATTCAAAATCAATTTAAATAGCTCAAATCCCCCTTGTAAATAGCAATTTCGAAGCTGTTTAAATTGATTTATTGTAAATCCCCTTGAAAATCCGACAAAAGGGGATTTTAGGGTCTTACTACCCCTAATAATATACATGAAAAATTTTCTCTGTTCTGATTGGTTAAGATGAATGCAGTTTTCAGTTAATTCAGTGCAGAAGAGAGTTAATTCAGTGCAAAGAAAGAAACAAACCTGACATTCTGATTGGTCAAGGTCAATGTGAAGGTCAATCTCACTTGTAGGGTTTGAATAAATTATTTTTGCACGTGATGCGCGCGCTCTTCTTCTGCATAGTTATGAGAAGCTACCTCCTATTTTTTGATGTATATTATTAACAGATAATCACGTGATTTTCTCGACCAAATTGGAATAAATAAGCACTTGTAAATTTTTTCAAAGACCACAAATTGCACTCGCCCTACGGGCTCATGCAATTTTGTTAGTCTTTGACAAAATTTACTCGTGCTTATTTAGTCCAAATTGCACTCGAAATCATGTGATTACCTATACATATACTATACTACTTTTGTTCGAAGCTAATCCGTGAGACATTTTTTTTTTGGTTTGTTTTATGTGTTTGTTTGTTTGTCTTTTTTTTCTTTTCTTTTTTTTTTTTTTTTCAATTTCAGCGCTTAAAGTGAATTATCCTCTTGTTTTCAGCTTTGCGACAGAACAATCTCAGCGAACAATTTTTAAAGTCAAATGTGAAACAATATAATAGTTAACAACTATCCACCGAAGTGGAGGTGGTTAGTGGTGGATATTTACCTCGCCGCTTCGCGGCTCGGTAAATATCCCCCGCTAACCACCGACACTGAGGTGAATAGTTGTTTTAGTATATACTAAAACAGTGAGATAATATACGCCACCAAAAATTGATTTTAATTCATACATTCCAACATTTTCCCGCGCGGAAAGGACTGAAACAACAAGCCGCGCAAGATTAATTTGCATTTGTAAACAAAACCTTTCTCATTGGTTTTCATCGATGAATTATGGGTAAAAAATTTAAACCATTGCCTTTAAACACGGCGAAACCAAATTTAGTCGTTTCCTTTGTGTTTTCAGGGACTGCTTCGTTGTTAATTTGAGTGATTTCTTACATTGCCACGGATGCAAACCGCGAAGCCATTTTTTTGCTAAGTTGCTCGCGGAGGTAAATAGCATTGGATATTCGGAATTTGACTAGCCAATCACAGCGCGCCTTCAACNAGTTGGCTATCCATCATCTCATATCCAACGCGCGCTCGTGGAATAATTGTTAATTAAGATCAGAATCTCTCACGGACTAGCATCAACTGACTTCCCAAAACAGTGACAAAAATGTAACAAAAATTGAGCTGCATTACCTGTAACCGTCTCTATGATCTTCATCATGTCTATGACCCATTTTCCTCCATCATTGCGGCATGACTACCAAATAAGTGATGTAGAAATAGTTTAATTATCAGCGAAGGGGAACCAGCAAATTAAAATCTCAATTTAATAATTCAGTTTCAGACCCACGGCAGTATAAAATCTATCTGCTTGCCTTGTTATATAAGTGGGAATTCACCGTATCACTACACAACTTTGATCGAGGATTTATTAGGGAGAAGTTGGGGGGGGAGGGGTAAGGGGGGAGAGAGAGGATTCTATAGAATTCACCGGTCCCTTGATGGTAAAATATTCTAAATATCGCAGACTTTTGTTCATAGGTGTAACCCAAATTCATTTTTTTCTCCAAAAAAAAAAAGATTAGCAAATTGCTACGACGCAGCGTTTATATCGAAAAAGAAGCGGGATGTTGCTATTTTAAACTTAAACAATATTGTTTAGGGTTTGATCATTTTCACTCCTAAGCAACCGCCCCTCAACTGAAGCCTGAAAGTGATTCAGTGACGAAACAGCGGTAGTTAGAATGTATCGTTAGTTAAATAAGGAACCGGTCATTATTCATCACTGGGGGGAGGAGTGCAGAGGGTTTAGTTGTGTCACAATGAAGTTTACCTTATCCTCCCCTAGGGCTCCGGGGTATTTAAATTATCTCACCCTCACTGGCAGTCAATTTACTACAGTCCCCCCCCCCCCCATTATACTCTGTTAGCAGCGAATGAGCTCCCATCCATCCTCCGTGAAAACCTTGTAGTCCCCCAAGAAATCCTCCAACCACCCACTCCCCTTTGAACGTAATTAAAAAAATGCATTCCTTTCCGATTTTTTTTTTAATGAAGCTTCATTTCACCATTACATTTCGTTTATAAAAACCTACAAGAGTTCGTCTCAACAATTGAGTAGAAGAATGCGAGGGGCATGGGTGAGAGATTGGGCACATTTAGTTTTGAGAACTAATTAACGCTCTCCCAGAGCATATAAAAATTTTGTCAACTCATATCAAAGTGCAGGAAAGCGAAACTGAATGACTTACATGAGTTCAAAGAAGAACAGACCTCGGTCGCCTCACGGCTTGACTCAGTCCGCTCATTTGCCGTCGTTGGTCGAGACCCACGTGCGAAGACCATAAGGCATTAAAACCCGATATTCCACACCACTCAGCATTTCAGATTGCACCGTCGGACAAAAGGGCCGCCTAGAACATGTTAGGCAGCGGTTTGTCCACCGAAAAAAGCTGTGGTTGAAGATAAGTACTTTAAAACAAGCAGCCGAGCAAAGTTGTGAACTTCACGCAGTTTAAAAATCGAGGCAGAATATCAAATTACAATGCAAATTAAAATTCCACGAGCCTCACAATCAGTATTCAAAATGACACTGCGGGGAGGAATGGGAGAGGGAGCGATTTCTGCTGTGGATACTTTTGGCGGAAAGGTTAAGTTCCTTTCTAATGATGATGTTATTTATATTCAGTTTATATCATTTAGCGCTTCAGCTTTCGTCGTCTTTGACTAACCCAATCGCTCTAATTGGCGGTTCAATCTTCTAACCTGAAGTCCGGCACGATGTAGATATATTACAGGCTCCTCTTTCAGATAATCATAATTTTTTTCTCCCGTTACAGCGGAGAATTTCCCGGTTTTGTGCCAAATGGATAACGGTACCTTTTAAAGACTGAAACCCCTCTGTATCGTCATAGCTTGTAGACATTAACTTGTACCCTTCCTTTAGTCACGAGCTTCTGTTGTCAGCAGACCCGGAGAAAAATAAATGTAGTTATATTTGCACTGTACTGTTGCAATTACGAGCTAGTAGCTGATGATTTTTGAAAATCCTCTAGGGTTTTTTCTTTCCATTTCGCCCCTCCCCTCCCTTTCTGTGTTTGACTCAACACTGCAGACCGCATTCTTTTCCGTTCGTCATTTCTTTTCGCTCTAACCCAAATGTGGGTTTTGGGCAAGTTCCCTTTAAACACAAGCAGCTGAACTGCAAGTGGAGAAATCACCAGCAGGAATTTTATTAGTTGTAGAGTACTGATCATTTAAATATCTACTGATAAGGCGATGAGGTTGATAGATAAACCATAAAGACCCACTTAAATTGGTTGTTTCGAGAGCGAGTATCAAAGTGCACCAATCAGCTGTTGAAAAAAAATCACCATAGCCGAGTATTATGCCTTCGTAAAATGACGCGTAAGGAGAATCTAAAGCTCGCGCGGGGCAGCATGAGCCATAATAAACGCCTCTGTGGCGTAACGTCGGAAATATCACTTGATGGAGAGGGCGCAAGGGCTGCTGTGGTAAAAAGAGATTAAAGCCCGCATATATTGCATCGAAAATTCATCAGGTGTTTTAGAATAAAAGCGGGAAAATGTCGATGATGTAGCAATGAAACTGGTATTCGAAGAAGTTATAGCTCCAGAATGGTAACTGACGCGGAGGAAATTTCGCGCTCTCAAATCCGGTTCGCACAACGTTCATATCTTACTAGACGTTTTGTTGCGTGGTATCGCTGAGTATTTTTACGAGTTGTGCTGTACTTTGATGAGCCCATAGGGCGAGTCAAAATACAAACGAGTAAAAATACAGCTATAATACACAACAAAACGTGTAATGAGATTTATTAACTGGAGTACAAATGTCGCGTGTGATCGTCTCGCGCATTTTTTGTACTCTACGAAGCACAGTTGGATAATAATCATTCTTATTTAACATCCACAAAGTAAAACGTAGTTAATCAACATGAATCAAATTCAATAATTTATTAATCTTCCGGAGACTCGAATTCAACTCTCAAAATATATTCTCAACATACTCCGGGTCTAGAATTTAACCATATTCACAGCTATACAGTCAATAAAGATTTCATTCATTAATGTGGAGAATCAACCTTACAAAGACCTTACAAAGAAAAAGACGAGTTAAGTACAAGCCAGAGAAGACCAAGAGAGGAGTTGCCCCTGGATAACTTATTCTATATCTGAAACCCCCATTTTCGGAGATTCCGTAAGAATATCGAAATTACTGATGTCTCTCGAGGGGCAATTCTATTTAAGCAATCGGCAGGGTGTACGTTACACTGTCCTCAGAAGATCAGATGGCCACTCTACTTCGCAGCCCTTTATTTGGTCTCTCACGCGACACTCTTTCTCGCGCGAAAAGCGTTGTGTGACGAGAAAGAACAAAGGCTGCGAAGAAGACTACTCGATCCTAAAAAACAACTCGTTAGGGACCTTTACGGATAAAGATTACATGGTTGAGTCAGTCTTTTAGGTTATCTTGTTATGATGCAAACAAGGCACTGCGTTATAGGCGTGGTTAGTGTAGCGTGCAAGAGAGGCGTCATTTTTTGTGTTTTTAGGCGAGCGAAGGTAAGTACGTGGCGAGCGTGACGGGCGAGACATACACTAGTGCACGAGCTCCTCCTCTAGCACACGACTTGCCCTCATGCTGTATCACGCACGCCTTACACTTTCCTAAGCCTGCCTGAAAAACGCAAACAAACAAACAAACAAACAAAAAAACACAAAAAAAGAGGCGCGCGTTCCGCAGGTTACGAGAGTGAAAAGAGAAGGAAGCAAACTTAAGGGGAAGGTCAGTATTAATTACGTCACATTAATTTCTCTACAGCATTTCTCTATTGCTCATAAATAAAGTAAACTCATTTGATAATTTTAAATCTTGCTAATAGAAACCTTAAGATTATAAGCCGAGCTCGCTCGATAACAAGTACGAGATTTGCATTCAGTTTTTCAGCGAAATATTCGTCGCGAGACTTAAACTGTGCTGTTATGAGCGACAAAGTTTGCGCAACTCTTATAATCGGACGTAATCGAAGGGTTCAATTAAAAAAATTGAAATTATGGAACTGGTTACCTAATGGTATCTAGTCATTGCCTCTCCATTTTCGCAAAAACTCGACCAACATTGCTTTTTTTTCGCGCCAAATTCCAGAGATTCTCGAGCGCCCCCTGTCTCACTATTGGAAGATCTCGAACTCATAGTCGTACTCGTCTAAAAATCTTAAGGTCAGTGGAGGATACGGGACTTAAAGGTACTATTCAAGGCTACGTCCCAGACTTCCTCGCCACTCTGTATAAATAATTAATTTACTCTAAGTATAAGGTATCTTCTGTACGACGTCAAGGTGTCACTTTTAACTCGGCAAAATTATTTATCACAACTCCCCCTGTCTTCTTCCGCGCTGCTGTCATTTAGTTGAGGACTGGAGCAACCTGTGTGGAAAGGAGAGACATATGACAAGTGGAACTGACTAAGCAAAGTACATGTATGTGTTTATTGCTGCATGTGTTTACACGCCCAACGGGTTTGACATATACACATACAAAGCAACAAAAGGAACAGTTTTTCTCTATTTCGATCGCAAAACAACAATTCAAGGTTCTCATTATACATGGCGCTTATCGTTCCCGCTGAGGCTGAAAATGCAGTGAATTACGCCGTCGACAGTTATATATTGGGACGCAATTCAGAACTATAATCAAAAATGACACTTATCGACTGAAAGTCTTAGCACTGAACATGGCAGACTATATATATATATATATATATATGTAGATTTGCATGGTACTAGTCTCTAAGTTTAAGTCCTCACCTTCCAAACATGTAAGCCTACTTTACATTGCAGCTTGTGCAGTAAGCTGGAGTATTTCAACTCCTCTTCAAAGGGATGAGATGGTTACCCAACCCGCTCTCCTCCTTACCCCTATTAAAAAATTTGGGTAGGATTCGCACGAAACCAAGTTGTACTAAAAAATAACCAAACTACCACTCCAGAACACAACACACATTGTAATCAAGACCTGCAACTGCTTGTGTAACACAACATTCACCTGTACTTCCTGTGGGGCTGTTCTCACCCTCCCCACCCTCTCCACTGTTGCTGCTACAGGCGCTGCCAGTCGGCGAGCTCCTCTTTCTGTTGATTATTATGGGGGAAGGGTTGGTGGGTGAACAACTGCTGTTTATGTCAGTCAGGTCCTCAGTACTGATGTGTACCAAATGATACTGTTGACTTGTGGGTAATGAACTCAGTGACGTAATGAAAGATTCGTCAGTACTACCACATGATGAAGGATCCATACTGCTATCAGCTAAAAGATAACAAAGAAAAGTCAAAGTCCTATCCCTACCAACGCGTTTCTATTTCAAGCCTTATATTTTTTGATAGTTTCTTCTAGAATTCACTCTAAAACGCCTGAAAAAGATTTAAGGTCGTTCCTCTGATTACTTGATACATTTACAATAAATGACTTCCCTTTTCTACACTAAGAATTGGTTTGTACCTACTTTACGGTGAGAAAGTCATTTCTCAATTCCAGGAAAGCGTAAAAGAAAATAGGTCACTGCGCTCGTTTTCGAAAAAATAACGATTTACCTCTCTGGTGAGCTCCGACCGTAAAGAAAAAGCCACCATTTTTTTAATGCGGGGGCGATAGTCACGCGTGAAATTATGCGTCGTACGGATGTGCAATGCAATACTACGGGATGGCCTTGAGCCGTTTTCTACCAAGACTGGAGGGCTAATGCTCGAAAAGTCAGCTTTGAAACTCTTTACGGTAGCCAGTTTACATTATCAACTCAGTTGATAAAACCAAAAATTACTTTGTTATATTCCCCTACCGACGCAGCACCACAGTTTCTTTAGAAAATTAACCCCTTTATTCATGTATGTATCTTTAAGTTACCTGGTGTGGGACTATTGCGAGAGCTGGTTCGACTCTGGAGTAGTTCTTCCTCAGTAGCAGAGTACCTCATCCTATAGGTTTTGTTTATAGTCGAAGCCCGTTTAAGGTCGGACAGTAGCTGAGAACTAAGTTGGAGACCTAAAGGATATAAGAGATAGGATATAACTTCACTTAATCATTACTTTTCCCAGCAAACAAGTTCAGAGGTTATACAGCAGTTAAAAGAAGAATTTCAGTACTTGGTTACTAGCTCATGTTGTAGAGCACCCGACTGCTGTTTGGGGGAGGTCGAGGGTTCAAGCCCCAAACCGGACCAACACTCAGGGTCTTAAAATAACTACAGAGATTGTGCTGCCTTTGCTACGACATCTGCAAATGATTAGACGTTCTATTCTTCTAGGATAAGGAAGATAACCCGTAGGCCCCTGTCTTCTGCATCTTCTTCTGACTGGTTAGCTGGGGATGTTAAAGAACACTTCTTGTAAAGCGTAGAGAACGTAGCTTCCGGTGTTATGGTTTGGCTCTGTTATTGTTTATACAGGCCCCCATTGAATTTAAACCAGCTCTAAAGCTGGACCAGCCTGTCTACATATCGCAAAGAAATAAATCAATAAATTCAAAAGACAGGAGTACCTTCAGTTCCAACTGCAGATTGAGCAGTATTTGCTCTGTGCACCTTGCGTTTCGTATCTTTGGGTCGGGAACTGAAAACGGTTTGACACCAAGAGTTACATGAACGTTTATCAAAAAACTCAGTTCATTTTCGTGGAATGTCTAAGAGTAAAGCAACATTAACACTAGAAATTTCTCTTCTCGACAATGTAGTTGTCGATGTAAACAGTTCACTTAACTCACATAGAAAACTTAAAAAAAATCGACGAGGACAGTTTTAAAGAAAACTTTACTGGACATGTCTCCTCGTTCTAAAGACAGGCGTGTTAGTTTTTGGACAAAGCGTCAAAGGAAAAAACTTCTTAGAAGACCTTTCAAGGAAAGCTTCCCAGGGTAAAGGTACCTTAAACTTGTCAATTCGAGATATCAATAGCACTTCGTTTACCGAGGATTATCTGTATCCATTTCTGGCAAGTGATGAGGTATTGACAAGTCGGGTTCAGGGTTGCCACACCCATCATCACGGTCAGGGGGGTGAGGGATGGTACATGCTGCCGCTGATATTGGGACTCCAGAGCTGACACAGATACTAGCTACAGTCCCTGATGAAAATGAAGAAGTACAACGAGAACATGAAGACGCTATACACCACTAAATGCCGTCTCCGCGATTCGTGGCGCAACACTGCACACATTTTTTCTTATAAATAACTTTGATTATTCTAAGGTTGAAAAAATGTTAAAGATAAGTTACTCGAGGTTAGTGGCTATTAGAGTTTATTCCAGTTTCCGTGGCAGGAAACGAACAGAAGTATTGCCTCTTCCCCTTTACGGAGTAGGAGTATTGGGCAATCACAGCCAACTCCTTCCCCTCCCTTCCCCCCCCCCGCTTTTGATCAGGCTTCCCTAAGAGTTTACCGGTAACCATTTATACTATCCGGGGGAACAAACACACAGTCAGAGTCAATTTTCTTGCCCAAGAACACAGCAAATTTTTACACATAATAATGTACGTTTGACAAACTTTCCCTTCTAAGAACATGAAACAAAGTGATCTGTCTATAATAAAACAAAAGCTGGTTTATACAATATAGAACGAAGGACTTAACCTCGGATACATCAATACCTGTTGATTTCTTTGGAGACGTTCGATTTTTACTATCTCCACCATCCAAGGTGGGTAATGAAGCGCCTCTCCTATAAGGCCTGACATTTCCTGTGCCCGATCTCATCCCCATTGGATGGCTTCCACTGGTCAGAGATTCTGTACACAAACAAGACAAAAAATATATATTTACGCACACGGTACGAGGAAGGACTGACGTTCGAAACGTCAGCTTCAGAAAGTCTCTACGGTGGCCAATTTTCATATCAACCCAGTTGACAAAACCAAATTATCTTCTGATACCCCCCACCGGCGCAGCATCAGTTCCTTTAGGCACGTACCCCCTTTAAACGTGCACTGTACCCTTTGACTGTACTCGCTGACTGTACTCGCTGACTTGGACAAGTACCACACTAGCGAGAGCGCCTAGCTGGACATTTGGAAATGTGAGTACCTGTCCAAACAGGCCATGAGAAAGCAATTTAAGAGAAGAGAGGTTCCATTTATGAAAAACAAATTTACGGAATGAAGGTAATTATATTCATATAAGGGTTTAGGACTGATAGGGCAGTTTTCAATTGAATGTCGCAAAAAAAAAAAAAAAAATCAAATTTATCCCTTAAGATCCCCAAAGATCCATATCATGAATAACAAATGAGAACTCAGAGTGAACACAAGCAAACTGCTTGCAGCGCGGGAAAACTCGAGTAACCGAGTCGAAATATGTTTTTATTTTTGTATCCGATTGGTTGAGAAAGTGACGCGAGTTTTGGTTTAGACCAATCACAAAGTTTGGTAAGGTAACACCTAAGCAATCCCGATTATTTTCGACACGCAATTGGAAATTGCTCTACGAGTGATTTAAAGTGAACTAAACGCACTTGTACGCTGAACAAAAAATTCAAATTTGAAATCGCCATAAAGGATTTGTGAATTTATTGACAGTCTATCTGTGCTTTTCTTCAGCACTAAGTCATGATCATTTCAGATCGGTGCTCTGCTTTGGAAGAGCCACAAGGGAGCAAGGATTCAAGGGTGGGGGGAAAGGTGGAGACAAAACGGTCTCGCATTTGAAAATGAGATTCTGAAACGTAGCACAGTGTACAATGGTTGAAATACCAGGTGAGACTTCAAGGAACAATCACCTTCTAGGGCTTTTGCACTGTCAAGAGAAGCAGCCGCTGCCTTGTGAGCCTCAGCGCGGGTTAAACAACTCTGCAGTCTCTCCAGCATGCTGCTGGTCTTCTCCAAGCGAGCTCTCTTTTTGATCCTTTCCTTGTGCTTGTCTTTATCATCTCCTCGCCTGGGCCACTCCACCACTGACACATACCTCCGTGACGCACCCGGCGCATTCCAGCGCGACCCTCTGGGGCCTCTGTTGTCAAACTTGAGCAAATTAAGAAGCGCTCTTTCCTCTGCATCGATAAGGGAACCTTGATTGCTTGGAAGGCAGTTGGAGCAGCTGGTCTGATTTGACAATGGCTCGGGTTTTGGTTCTGCTTCTTCTCGCTGCTCCGTTAGACTGTTAATATCAAAGAATTCAAGTTCAACATCTTCTACATCCCAGGCCTCTTGCTCCTTCTGCTGTGAGGCCTGTTCTTCTGGTGGACTTTCGGAACATGGGACGAGATCCTGAAGTGCTTCCTCTTCTAAAGTCTCGTCTGAAAAAGTGCAATTAAAGCAAGTCATGAGTACTTCAGCGTGGAAAGAAATCATGTACTGCATTGAATTCGTTTTGATACGCCATGCAAATGGGCTAACACTTCAAGTACAAGAAGGCTTGAACAACAAACTGTGCTATCTTTCGTTACGTATTTTGTCCCCAGGAGGATTCAATCCCAAGTCATTCAGCCCGATACTCTCGCACTGTGCCGCAGAGAACCCTAAGATGAGCTTTACTACTTGGTTCAAATGTGACAAACGCGTCGCTTACTGCTTGGATCAGTAATATCTAAAGCGTCGTCATGCGTAAAGTAAAATTAAGCAATCGAGTCAAGTGGCTCAACTGGCCAGAGCTTAACGTGCTCTCTATAGCAGAAAAGCAGCTTGGAGTATGGCAACTCCCCTGGAGAGGATGCAAGTCCATTGCAAGTTACCTCCCCCCTCCTTGCAACACTTCGTCAAAGGGAGGTGTACTGCGAGAGTAAAGTGTCACGTCCAATAGCACGACACAATGAGCTAGGCCTCGAACCCAGACCTCTCGACCCAGAGTCAAGCGCACTGACCGTTACCCTTTCATATCCCAGATGCGATGAACATTAAACTTCTCCCCATAATATCTATACATTACCCACGAAACAGGCGATGAGAATGCTCAAACACATCAGGGAGAGGTTGGTATTTTGATCTCACGCTTAATTCTCTTAATTCATTTGCAAGGAAATGTGTAGCGGCATACAGGGGAGAATTAATAGGGACTTTAAGCAAACCACGACGGCTACGGCAACGAGGACGTGGAAAAACAATAGATCTAATTGGCAGAACAATAGCCCAGCACGTGCGTTTTAAAACTTTGTACATTTCTTAGCCGTCCTTTGCAAAACAACAACGTGAAATCACCAAAATTTGCGTCGTCTGCGAAGCGAAACCGCGGCGGCAAATTATTTTAATTTACATTTGGAACTCAACGCTACTTTTATGCGTTATGTTGAGTTTGAGGTCTGGCGCCCTATGAGACGGTAAACACATGCAGCCATTTTCGAAATTCTAACTAAAAGTAGAAACTCATTTTTTAATCGAAGTCTTTCGTGGCGTTGCTGTCCTGACTGCTTAAAGTCCCAAATGTTAGACGAAGACCTGAGAAACGTTACATCTGTAAAGGCCTTCAAGAAAGTCCTGAAACTTGCCATGAATGAATGATCGAGTGACAGTTAGAATTTAGAATTTAACAAGAGCTTGTCAGATATAGTTAGCATTCATATTTGTACATAGGTACTGAGAAACCTTTCTTTGGGAGTATTTATCATTAAAGTTTAAAGTTTTAAATTAATAATCAGATTATGGGAGTTAAAGAATTAACCCGTCCCTTCTTGGATTCTATTCTACAGTGTTTACCTCTTAGCGACTCATCTTCATTTCCTTCCGGTTCAGATGTCTCCTCCTCAACTTCCGGTCTTCCATCCACTTCATTCTCGTCATCACCAGTATCAGCACCACTTTCGTCTTCATCCTCTTCTCCATTCTCATCTTCATTTGTGTAACCATCCACCACCTCTTCTCCTTCTTCGGAGGCTGGAAGGACTGGCCCTAAAAAAAAATATATATATATATATAAAACACTCTATCACGAACACGAGTCACTGCACAAGAGGGAAAAACAACACCTAACCCACTCTTTCCCCAGTATGATCTAATGTCCGGTTTACACCAGCAAATTGTCGAAGTAAATTGTTCGTTGAAGAACGCTCCTCAAAAGAGTATCGCAAAAAGATAAACGAAGTAATCACAACGGTAAATCACAAAAGAGGAAAATGACAAGAGAAGCGCAACAGTGGTTAATTTTTACGGTGACAATCATCACAAGTGATTCGACCTTCAATTCGGGCGAAACAACTCTTGGCATTCGGGGGAGAAATGACCGGTTAGCAAGGGTTTAAATCAAAGCCGATTACCAGCGGTCTACCGCCGCCTAAGAGACCTCTGACCGCCGGTCTGTTGAGCCTGGAGCAGGCTCTTGTGTTTGGATTTCCGCTTGAGGCCCCTTCCCGGCACAGCCGCTTATTTCTCCAACAGCAGCCGCTAATGGAGAAAGTAACTGAAACCCCTGGGCTACCAATTCAAAACTGTTTTTTGGACAAGGGGTTTAGAAGAAATTTTGCTATCTACACTGTGATTAAATATCAGTAGCACATAAGACATACCAGAAGCAGTTTCCACATCTAATGCTGTGTGTGCTGTAGCACGTGGCCTAGCGGCCTGGGCCCGTCGCACTACTAACTGAGCATCATTGTGTTGCTTGGTAACCAGATGATCATTATCATCCTCGATGTTGTCCAATGATTGTTCAAGTAAGGACACGTGACCAATGTCTGACATGCTGCCCGTTGCTGAGGGAGTCGGTGCATGGTTTCTGGACAGCTCAATGGCAAGTCGCTGCGTTTTGAAAAAAATTCTCGGTTAGTATAAAAATATCATTAAGAATTATTGGATGACGTCAAGCTTTTTTTAGTGTCTCGCAGATCTGACGAAAACCGAATTGTTGTTCAATCATTCAATTAGCTACTTTCATTTTATTATTATTTTCGGGAATCACTCTCTGATCTGTCATTTTGCAAAGACCAGCATGGACACAACAAAGCTAAACGCGATGCATTTGGGTGGTAGAAAGCAGTTATTTGCAAGTCACTCGGTAGGTTATCGAATTCTAGTTCTAGAATTGGGTCCTACCTATAATGTCAGTTTTACTAATATATCGCATACCTCTTTTAAATCGTTAATCTGTTGAATGTACTGGGTCTGACCAGTTTCAAGTTGATTAATATACCTGGAAAAACAAGAACAAAACCGAAAACATGAACTTTTGCTCAGCGAAAAACTTCGGAAAAGACTGCAGAAACTGGCTGCGATGTAAGCATTACTTGGCCCATAATTCAAGCCGAACCCCTTTACCGCCCAGAATTGATTAACATGTAACTTCTTCCAATCATATCATAAATTATCTAGCAAACGGGTAATGAGAATACTAAACTTATCAGGTAGAAGGGGGTTATCTTGATCTTACAACTATTTCTCGTAACTAATTTACAAGGAAATGTGTGGCAGCCGGGGGGGGGAAATTCACAAGCAGATCTTGGGTTATAGTGTGATATTTGTACACTTGCATCAAGTAACACCTTACCACTGTTGATCTCTACACTTTTGGTAGAATGTTGGAGGTCTGACTTGAAACCTCAGGATCAAAGTGTCATTTGCTGTGTTCAAGTATCCTTCAGTTCCCTAAAACAAAAAGCATATATACAAGTTTATTTTCTGGTGCATTTTTCGCCTTTAGGTCTCAAAATAACAAAATTAACATCCACTTACCAAAAGATCCAATCGAAAAAATCTGTTGTAACCCCAGCATTCACCAACTTCAAAGTCAGAAGCTGCAGGAGAAATGAATCATACAATTCAGTTGAAGTTCACCAGGTAGTGTTGAACCTTAACACCCTAACATCAGTATGTGTATTCTCCCTACTGTTCTCTATACATTTCCTAAGGTGCTACAAGGAGAATTTGTTTAACAATCAAGAGCTTCTCCAGTTGGTGATCATTTCCCTTATTCTCCTGACCTTAATGTTTGACGCAGGGGTGATACTGTGAGGATAAATTAGATGCATGCATGCTGGTCTGTCGAAAAGCGCTAAAGGGTCAAGTGTAGAAGAACTAGCTATTTCTTCACTGCAACTCACCAAACTCCCTCACGATGTTCTTGCTTGAGTCAGGTGATGCATGATGAATCATTTCAACTCTGTATTCATATCTAAAGAAATAAATACAAACATCAAAAGTCCAACCTGGATTAAGCTGCACCGTATTAAGTGGTCACCCTCTATTGGGCAATAAGTTTTCAAAGTCCCACAAATTTTTCCCTTTAATTACGTAATGTTCACCTCTATTAAGCGGTCACCTCTATGTGGTCAACCTCTAGTGGTTGCGATCACCTTTACCGAGTTCCAAACGCCTGTTTGTATTGCCTTCCACCTGCATTGAATGGTCACTTAAATCTGAACCACTTAAATAAAACTAAGAAAACTCTATCAAGTAAAATTTAATCCATGTTTATCTCCCGAAATCAATGTTAGTAGTATTTTTGATCAAGCTTCTGTACATTAAGTGGTCAATTAAACGGCGTTTTTATCCCTTATTGTAGTAACACTAATCTGTGGAACCTTTATTGGACAGTAATAACCCCACCAGTAACCATAGGTTACTGCTCAATACAGGTTTGACTGTAGCTTGAATTTAATGATCAGAGAGAAAAGCAACTCGAAACTTGAAAACAGGATAATAAAGAATTGATAAACAAAATAATATCATTAATCTTTACTTGGATGTTTCTGGCAGTCCAGCAGAGAGCTCCAGGAACACAGACAGGTAATTTCCTCTCACCACACCATTACCATCCTACAAACATCATCATCATCAAAGACATCACATTTCAAATATGTCACATGCTCCCTTGAGATACAATTAAATATTTTAAGTTACCCTCAGATGAGGAACTTTTGGGAAAGGAAAGTGGCCATCTCAAATCCACTGGAAGGAGAGAGCTGTGAAGGTAGAAATTTCAACTCTAAACTTTAACCTTCTACTCCTAGGATTATTTAACATGTTCCTCCATATAATATCAAGACACTATCCATCTAGCAAACAGGTAATGAGAATACTCAAACTTATCGAGTAGAAGTTGTTTTCTTGATCAAATATCAAATTCTCAAAGCTGATTAACAAGGAGATATGTAGCAGCTAGAGGGGAGAATTGACGATTAGATCTTAGGAGTTCAAGGGTTAAAGTGGTGGGAACTTTACTGCATCCAAACGAGCAATAGGAACAAAAGATATCCCACGCACCACTAGGTATTCAACTCTTTGACCTACAGGAGTGACCAAACAGGAAGTTCTCCTTACTAAAAATAGACACATTGTCAAGGAGGAAAGTAATGAGAAGAAAGAAAAATATCAACTAGGGGATATTGTTTGATCTAACACCAACATCTCACTGCCTAAATAATAGGAAATGTATGGCAGACAGTGCAGAGAATTGATATTTGGATCTTATGATGAGAACTTAAAATAAATCTTTGTGAAAATCCTACAAAAATTGCCCAAAATCCTTTTTAACCCTGGCTTGACACCCTCACATTAGTATGCATATTCTCCCTATTGCTCTCTATACATTTCCTAAAGTGCTGACAAGGAGAATTTGTTGAACAATCAACAGCTTGTCTAGTCCATGATCTTCCTTTATTCTTGTGATCTTTATGAATGATTCAGGGGTGATTAGTCTAGTCACTCTGAGGGGTCAAAAGGTCAAGGTCATCACACAAATGGTGATCAGTTGACATAATCAAAACAATTATCAAATTGTAAAACTTCAAATTTTGAACTGTTGCATGTAGTTTCTTAATACTTACAGGATAAACCTTTAGTCTCCAACTAAGTCCACTGATATTTAATGGTTCACTATAGACAGGATCTGCCTTTCTTCGCAATAAACTATGTACAGAACACCAAGTGAAGTGAAAATGATGCATGAAAAAGGGAGTAAGTTTCTAAAGTGTCGGTTGTGGGTATTACAAGAAAATTTGGTTTTAATGGGCAAAGAGTTTCTAGTCAGAGAGCAGATGTTTCGAACAAAAGCCCTTCATTAGCTTATTCACTCTGATGAAGGGCTAACACTCAAAATGGTCATAGTACCTTTAATATCAATCATCCAAGACCCTGTGATATGAATAATTAATGAATTTTTTGTAATTGGTCATAAACAAAGTTTACTCAGAAGTGCTTGTCCATGTATATTTAACAAATTAACAGTGGTTTATTGACAATGATATTCGTCATCACAGCTGTCAAAATTTGTGGCGGATTTACTTGGTTGTGCCTTGTAACCAAAAAACAGTTGTTAAACGTTTGCATAATAATATATAATGCACATGGTTAAAACACATCTTTGTTTTCAGGAAAGCTGATTGAATTACCTGAAGTTGGTGATACAGAAAGTACTTGTGTCATAACCAGGTACAATTTCACTAAAAATGAAGAGAAAAATCCCATAACTGTAAAATAAACTTTTGTCTTTTAGAATGAAATTTTTTAACAAAATTATCGGAAAGTGTAGGAAAGCAATTCATTACTACTTCAAACCTTAAGACTTGAATCCCAACTAGATACTGAGTCTAGCTGTCAATCTTGATGCAAGTACCAATAAGATCAAGCCCATGTTTAAAATAAAACAAGTTGTATGTATTGCCATTTTCAATTTGGGAAGAAAGGTATTGTGGGACAAAGAAACCTTTGATCACTTTTATCTATTAAGTATTTAAAGGAGCACTCTTATGAAACCTCCCCGTAATTTGGAAACCCGAAAAATCCAATATTTTTACATAAAAACGTGAAATGTTCAGTATTTAATCATCTCTGCATTTTTTTCCAAATTGTCACACAGGAAGATTGTCAAATTCACAATTTTCTTTTGACCTGCCATTAGTTTACGTAATCAATTGTCAGATTCAAGAAGACTGGGGTGAGTTTTGAGCGTGACGTAGACGACTCAATTGATGCACAAGAGAGTGGTCTTCCACATTCAAAACAGTATTTTGATCGTATAGATTGCTTTTATAACACTAAGACTAAGACTATTTCATTAAATTTCACAAGGTTTCCCTACAAATATAAAATGACGCCAACAGTGTTTTGAGTTATCTACGTCACACAATGGGAGTGACCACTGACTGAAGATAAGTTGGCCGTGATTTTGAAACTTAATGGCAGGATGGTTTTCAATCGTAATTTCTCGCCCTAGAATAGACTTTCAACTAAAATTATTATTGAAAAGGCTTTATTAATTGCTAAAAATTCATATTATAATGAAATAACTGAATTTTTTGGGTTTTCAAATTATAGGGAAGTTTCATAAGAGACTGCTCCTTTAATATAGATTGTTTGATCCTTTTCCAACAGATACTGACCAGTCACAAATTTAGAGAAAAAGATATATCTCTATATTTATTTTGTCTCTATATTTAAAGACAAAGATATGAAAGCAAACCTGAAAACCACAAACTGATGCTGTGGCTTCAAGCTCTGTTTTAGTTTAATTTATAAGTGTTAGGACTGAATGGCTTTTCCCTCAAAATGCTATAACATTTACTACACATTTCTGATATTTTATAAATATTCCATGAGCACGTGAGCGAGTGGAATAATTGTTTTATTTAAAAAAAAACACCCCCAAGATATTAGACAAATCTTCTCGACTTATATTTTGTAAGAAGAAACCGGATGTTGCAATGTACAGATATTAGATTACGGTATATTGGCTGATATACCATAATGGCTAAGCCAATAAAAAGTCTTGAATTGCATTATCCAATGAACCAGTTTTTAATAATCACCATTATCTGAGTATGAATGCGAGATATTTCAAAGATTTTGGTACAAATTACTTCACAATTTGGATAACTGTTTTTGGATTTCTTAATTGCATTAAAATACTTACCTTGAAAAGTCAGCTGGTATTGGAGGACTCACAAATGAAGCCATTGGCTTACGATGAACCTACAATGTAAAAACCTAAAGCTTTAAACCAGTTTTAATTTGTATTTTTCCCTGAAATGCAACAAAATATCACTTAATATAAAAACATAATTGTAAAATAATTATAAATGAATTACATCTCAACCACAGCAAAACCTCAAAATTGGTTCAAAAATATTCAACAAAGAAATTCAGGTCCACTTGTTATCTTAAGGTACCATACCTGATTAAACATCTGTAAAAGTTCCCCACTTTTAGCTATGAGTTCACTTCTGGAGCATGAGTGCAACTAAAAAGCAATAAAAAAAAAACAAAAAAACAACAACAAAACAAATTTCTTGTACAGTTCTTTTGAAAATTTGGCATTGAAATGACACAAAATCAAAATAATGATCAAGGTTGCAGAAGATGATGTATTCTTAGCTACTTCAACGATGATAACATGCTTTCATTAATTACTTTTAAATGAAATAAGTAACATTTTGACATGTCCAAGTAAAGAAATGATTCTCACAGATGAGCTGCAATTAAAGAAATTGTATAAAAAGAAGTTTGTCAATGAGAAAGTCCAGGCCTTCACAAGACTCAAACTCACTGGCCCCCTCCATATTAATTTTGTTACCCACTACTACCAACAGAGCTAAAAAGGCCACATGTTGGAAGCAAGGCAAATTTCGGTAGGGTCTTCATTCCCTTAGAGGAACCTTATAAACCAAATGAAATAAAAGTGTTTTGACCTGCAGATGAAAGACAAGTAAGCAAATGATCCTACCAAGTGAGCTGCAATCATTGAAAAAAAAAAGTAGCATTGAACACACATATTTTTCAAAACAAACCTGGTGTTCAACTTCCTGTAACAAGGATTCTAACAATTCTGTCTCCTGAGTCAGTGAGTTCTTTTGCCCTGTTTAGCATAAACAAGTGAATAAATCAAGTAAACAAAATTATCGGGCTCTATTCATACACAAGGTACTGTACATGTAACTTAGCATTGTGACTCCCCTTTGGATGAGAAGCAAGTTCAGTGCAGCATACATTCCAGAAATTTAACAGGTTTCCCCTCCTACTTTAGAAGTCTGTTTTAATATGATCCTCTATGTACATGGAGAGAGGCACTGAGTGGGTATTTTGTTTTGCCTAAAAACACAAAACAATCAACTCCACCAGGACTTGAATCCTCTTAAAGCTACTGAGTCCCTCACAAACTCATGTGAAATATAATTATTATCTAAAAATTACCAGTAAACATTATGAGTATTGCTTACCTAAACATTGCATTAGGTTTGTACATAGAAAATTAATAATCTTGATATTTACTCAGTTCCATTTACATGTTTTAAATTATTTACATATGGAAGAAAGGGCAAATAACTAGATATACCCTCATTATACACATGAGACATGCACAGTACTCACAATATTTCATTTCAGGTCTTACCCATAAGTGTCAGCAATTTACTTTTCAGCTGAGTGTCCAGGCGTGCTATCATCAATTCCACTGCATTCCGAATTTCACGTACACGCTACATAAATTCATCATGGGAAAAACGATGAAGGATTTATTTAGTTCTTCTCAGTTCCATGTAATACTGTTAAAAAACTTCATATTCATCAGTAAAATTGGTACTAATAGTGAGAAAAAAAAATCATACCTCTTCTTTAGCTTCACGTAAACTTTCTACATTGCGTTCCTACATAGCAGACAAAACAACTTGATTAAGACAGAATTAATGGCTATTAGTAAGTGTATGTATGGTAAACTGTAAGCAAGAGATAACTTCATCTGAGTACAATCATAGACTGGTTAAGCTGTGGCTTTTTCTTAAATCAGAAATAACTTAAAACGGTTAAGAAACAAGACAAGAATCAAAAGTAATCATAAAAATAATTAGCAAATTTAGGTACTTGAGGCACCAGCCAAGGGGACATTTTAAGATCACACAGAGCTCGTTGACATGATTAATTTCATCCCAGATGCACAAAAATCCAATTCAGTTTCTTTAAGAGCTTAACAGTTCTTCTCATCATTAGAAGGTTGGGTGTGACATAACTTTGTAAAGAGCCTCCCACTGTACATACCACTTCCTGAACAAGACTAATCAGTTCCATCAGTCTGCGCCTCAATGCTGCAACCTAAAATAACAAAAAAAAATAAATAAATAAACAATACCTGCCAATAAATCTTAAGGGGTTGAGACATTTCAAGGTCTCAACTGTCAATCACTAGCTTGACTTATTCTGGGCAAACTTTAAGCTGACAATACCTCATCTGTAATAGAGGAGACATGCTGGTCATACACCTCATCCAAAGGCTTAAAGGTGTGGCCAGAGTGCTGAAAATCAAATGAAATCTAATTTAAATTCACTAACTAATTACTTAAAATAACTAATTATGAATCAATTGATTTTTTTATATACTTTAAAACATTTCAGGTGTAAATGATGCAAAATGAGGAAGAAGTTAGGACAAATTGAATGTTGCATGATGCTGTTTTTCAGTGCTGTGTTGAAAAGTGTCTAAAGATAGGGTGTGGCATTTGTATTTCCTTTCTTATTGAAAGGTATTTAAATATTGATTATTTTTTAACTAGTAGAGGAAATATTGCAGCGTTAAGAAGACCAACGTACCGTTCCTCCCCACAAAGCACACTGATGGCAGATGCACTGCTTACATGTACTGCAGAAGACACTGAGTTTTTCATGATGAATGTCACATCTAAAGCAAAACCAAATCAAGAAAAAATACAGTTGAAAAAAAAAACAAAAAACAAAAAAAACAATCAATATCTTCTATTTGATACAATTATTACACAAACCATAGAATTATATTTCTTGTGTTTTTCAGTAACCCCAGTTTAGAGATACTTAAGAGGACACGTAAAAAAGTAACCTCTTGACTCCTGAGTTCTAAGATTCAAATTGAAGATTCACAAAAAGACCCTGCACAGTTTTTGATGCTCTAACCAAAGCAATGAATAAAAATGAGGATCATTTTGGGGTGTAGCTGTTTGTCCATTTTTCTGTCATGGATCATAATAATTAATTATCATACTACCGGGTGAACTAACAACATTCAACTTCTTCTCCTTTTGAGGCAGTAACTAGTAAAATTTATTGCTTGTTAGAACTTCTGATCACTGTGGCCCAAATTGGTAAAAATTTTGCTCTATCAGTTTGAAAATTTATTTAATCTGTTATGCTTATGATAAGGAAGAACACTGAACATTACAACTAGAAACATACGCCCAATGGTAAAAGTGCTACAAGCAAGATTTTGGGAATGAAATGGATACATCCTTTGCTGAATGCAGATTTAAGCTGTTCTACAATGTAACTATATCAAATGTGACAAAATTGGTTCATTTAAGTCATCTGTGGGAGAGATGGTGTTAGAAAAGAGCAGATATTCTTCTTTATGTACCACATTGTTCTTTAAAATATCTTAAGTGCGGCCCTCAGGAACATGCACAGCTAATGGAACTAATCAGTCATGTTCAGGAAATGGTGTTGTTGTTAAAAATCTCCCCCTCAGTTCTTTCCTTTTGGTTTAATAATTTAAAAAAATTATCCCCTCAAAATGACGAAGAATGAATTCAACCTGTTCTCACAACCTGAAATTAATTTAAACTGTTGCAAATAATATCATTTAAAACAGATCTTCCAAGACATGATTTCTGTTTTCAGTTTGTTTGGTACTGTACGCACAGATCAACAGTTAATGAGATAATTGTTACACAAATAACTGAGCTGAGCAGTTGTTGTACAATATGCATCATTTCACTGAATTTCACTAGCAAACATAGATTTAAAGGCAAGAATAATTGTTACATTAATTTGTATTTCAAAAGATTTAAAGTTAAAAATATTTCCAAGTCTAGCAATTTTAAAGTTATGCGGCAATAACACCGATTCTCAGTTCGGTAAACAGCAGTGGCCATGACAGTGACTAATAGTGTCCTACACTGACAGCCACACAGAGCGAAAATGTTTAGATTTGGAGTATTTTGTATTCATGCCTAAAAATAAGTTTTTTGAAATTTCTTCAGACTTGAGTCTAAAAATGAATTACAAACAAGTGAAAGCAACTGAAGTTATGATTTTGAATAACATTGCTAAATTAATGTATAGACTTTGAGGATGAAATCCAAGTCAAAAAATTATTATTAAAATGATAGCTCAAGGCATGAACTCAAATTACAGTGAGGCCTACATGTTATGATGTACTTCTTAAAAAAGATACAACTTGAAATGAAAATGATAATAGTACTTTCACTATTTATGAAAAAAGATAGCATATATTTACCTATCGATAATGCTCTTCTTCATCCGCAGTTTCCATGTCCAAATACGTATATGCACATACTCTTTTACTAGGCCCACTATTCAGTAAATAGATTTTTTAAAATTGATCTCAAAAATCCAAAACAAGACAGGAAAAATTCACCAAATGAAAACTGTATTGAAGCATAATACTTCCACTTACTTCTACTACTTGCAATTTTCCACAACTTGCACATTTCACCATCATTTTCAAGTTTTAACATTCAGAAGAATACCAAGCCATTAGACAAAATCTTCTAGTTTTACAATCATTTTTAAGCACATATTGTCTGTGTTTGATCTGAGAAATTCATTTGATCCACCCTATCAAAATCATCAATTTAACTATGATTGTAAATGTGTAAAACTGAAGCTTCACAAAGCAATAATATTCTGCCTACAGCAAGACAACACCTGCTCAGCTCAGCATTTGCCAATCTCACAAAGATCATTTAAATTAAAAAGGAAGTTCTTAGGGACACACAATTCTCTTGAAACTTTTATGCAAATTTGCTACATCCTCTAATAGCTGACATGCAGTCAGAGAAAATACCAGTGAGGGGTTCTTAATATTAGATTTCATCCCACCTGTCTTTATCGGCATCATCTTTAGCTTTAGGGGGGCCTGTAAGCTGAAGTGAGTCTAGTTGCTGGAATAAAAATATGGAGAAACATTTTAAATCCAAAATGAAGTTTTCTTGCTTCATAATTGTGGGTCATTTGACTAATCACATGCAAATTAGAGACATATAGTCCATTATTTGAAGGAATATTTTGACAGGCAACTCATAAGTAATGTTCTAGGCCTGACAGAACAATCCCACACATTTCCTAACACTATGAGCTCTCTTTAATGACCACACGTATGTGAAATAAAATTTAACATAATTTACGTCCGAATTAAGTATTGTGTTGAAAGATCTGACATTTTTCTCCTACACATGACATCATCACTCAGTCTTAACTGTTTACCAAAAAAAATTTGGGTTACTTTTGTGAAATGTGATCAAGAAATGAAATATGCAAATATTTGTCTCTAGTGTGTTTAAAGATAATGAACAAATGGATAGACACTGACCCACCAACAGAAAAAAAACGAAAATAAAGCCAACCAAAAATTAAAAGTCAGAAACACTATCCATAGTCACTTTTTTCTGGTGGAGACTTTCAAAACCAAAAAGGTAAATTTAATGTCATTTAAAGACTTCATTTAGAATAACGTACTTTATATTTTGATCTGAAGCAAAGATGACTTAAAACTAATAAAAAATAAAAGAAAAAATAGGTTATAGAAAGACACAAAGAGGGACTTTCTTGGCAAGGGTAAATTAATTCATGTCAGGATTTTGTACAACAATATACATTTTAATTTATGTACTAAAAAAAAGATTGAACTTCTGAGAACTAAAATCTGAACAAGAATTTTACGATCTTGAAAAAAAAAAAAAAGAAAAAAAAAGAAAAAAAAAAAGCCCAAACAAAAACACAGCGAAGGATTCGCAACATGAATATTTCAACAAATTTTAAGGATCTGTGATCCTTGCATTTTAGGAAAAATTGGCAAAGTGGTCTTCTGAATGGAAAAAAAAGTCATAATTTATAAAAATCAATGACAGTTTGAGAAAAGGACTCTTTTTCAACCCATATACTGCACTTACTGCTAGCTGAAAACTTAGCGCATGATGTTAAGCTTAATGCAGTGCATACAGCTGATATTGATCTACAAGGCAAGTAACTAAAACCTGTTGCTTCATTTGAACAACTGTCAGTAGTTTCACAAGGTAGCAAAAATTCATAAGTCACAAAAATTGCCTGAAAAAATATACTTAGGGTTTCTTGTTTGACAGAAAATCTTAAATGTCTTGGAGAACAATGCCATGCAGTCTCAAAGTTACCTTAAGTGCATCTTCTCACTAAATTGGAAGTTACTCTCAATTAGTTCTATAAACCATTATTACGGTAACCACTATTGCTAACTGTATTTACCAACTGTCTAAAAAGATAAACAGCTGATAATCAGCTGTCAACGTTCTTTTCTGCTGTTCATTTCAGACATTTTGGACAACAGTGTTTAAATAACATATCAACAGTGTTTAAATAACATATCAACAGTGTTTAAATAACATATCAACAGTGTTTAAATAAAATATCAATCAAGACTACATGTTGCCAAACTTTTGAACAGCAGCTCCTAAAATGGTTAAAAAAAAGAAAAAAAAATTCAAACCTGGGTGACTTCTTCAACCCATCGACAATGGACAAGTTCGTGAAGATGAAGGGATGCTCTGTAAGGAAAAAAAAAAGTTTAGCAGAAGGTTTTCACTTGAGGCTGAAGAGACATATTTGACAGCAATTGCAGGCAATGACTGCGAGAATTGAAATACACCTGTCTTGTTTCACTCTGTCAAAGAAAGATGACTAATGTTCACAGAAAAATAAGTCAATCCTCTACCTGCAATGTGGGCACTGTGGTCTTTGTTCAGTCAACCATCGCTATAAAACAGAAAACAATTCTAATGAATGGTTATGATTAATTTAGATTATATTCAGTCACTAAACTGGAAACAATAAATATTATTATAATGCTTGTAATTAAAGTAACATGTTTTTGCAATGCATATATTAACCTTTTCTATTCTAATACTTTAAGCAATTTATTATATCTACATGTATATCAACTATTAAAAAAAAATTATTAACAATAGACCATAAACTTTGATTTGAGTAATTTTAAATTAACTTTGAATGTGAAAGTGTACTATGATCATCTAGGTGAGTGTAGACCTGAGAAGGATTGTTATCAGTGGTGGTGACTGACGTTTCGATAACCTGTGCAGAAGTCATCATCAGAGTTAAGTGAATAGTTGTCAGTAGAATGTTCTAAGTCCAGTTTGAGTAAAATGACTGGTCAGTTTTGCTGTGATGTTATTGGCTGTAAGACTCAAGTGGTGTCAGTGGGTTGTGATTGGTCTGTTTCAATCCGTCCGTAAAGTTAGGTCATTCTGTTTGGTTCATTTGTAATGTTAATGTTGTGAATGAGTTGTTTGTAAGGAGCCGGTAGTAGTTGACACCTGTTTGTTTACTAGGCAGTTTGGCTAGTAAACAAACTAAAATCTTATAATTATAATAATAATAATTGCAGTTCTTAAAACGCATTATACACGAGTCCCAGTCAATGCTTTTACATAAGATTTGAAGTACAAATATAAGATAAAAATTAACTACAAATTATAAGCGATTTTAAAAACTTAAGGTAAGTCTTGAGCTTGGTTTTAAAGGAATCTAAGGTTTCAGAATATCATTCTTATAAAATCAGGAAGTTTGTTCCAAAGCATAGGGGATGCACATGCAAAGGACCTGTCACCATAGGTAGAGGTTCTAGATCTTGGGACAGACAGATTAACAGACCTTGAGGAACGGAGAGGGCGGACAGGTTTATAGAGAGTTAACAGATTTGCCAAGTAATCAGGAGCCAGACCATGAAGTGCTTTATAGGTACAGAGAAGCAGCTTGAAAATAACACGATGTTTTATAGGGAGCCAGTGTAGATTAATGAGGACTAGAGTAATATGTTCACATTTTTTCACTCGCATAATAAGTTGGGTGGCAGAATTTTCTAGTCTTTGAAGATTCTGTATTTCAGAAGAGGGCAAGCTGTAAAACAAGCCATTGCAGTAATCCAGTTTAGAGGAAACAAAGGCATGAACGACCCTTTCAGTGTCTTTCTGAGATAAAAAATTCCTGATTTTACTAAGTTTGTGTAAAAATAATGAGCCAGAGCGACATATATTGTTAATGTGAGTGCGAAGAGTGAGGGTAGAGTCTAGAGTGATGCCGAGATCTCTCGCTTCATTTACTGGTTCGATAATAGCAGTGCCAACTCTGAGGTGTGAAATGCTGTCATTGGGCATGAAGCGAGAGTAGAAGTGAATGAATTCAGTCTTGGTTGGGTTGCATTTACGACCATTCTGCGTGTTCCAACATAGAACATCATCAATGCAAAGTTTAAGCTGTTTTAAGGCAACACGGTGATTACTCGATTTATGATATAGAGCTGAGAATCATCAGCGTACATTATCGCATCTGTCCCATGAGCTCTTATAACATCTTCAAGAGGACCATAATACAATGAAAACAATAAGGGCCCCAGTACAGAACCTTGAGGAATGCCGAAAGAGTTACATTTTGGATCAGAGTAAGCTCCATTAACTACAACACGTTGAGGTCATTCTTAAAGACATTTAAGTTGTCACTACCCACTTGGCTGGAATAAGTTGAAAATTTAATGTTGAGCCCTGAATTAGGGGATTAAAGGTTAATCCAATACCAAATTCTCCAAATAAACAACAAAAGAATTGTATTGCAGACAGTAAGGAGAATTAGTCATGAGATCTTGAGACTGAAAGGATTAATTCAGGAAACTAATTAAAATTGTTAAGGCACCCCTTTAGAGTGCCCGTCTGGGTTTTTAATTACTTTTGTTTACGATGTTTAAATTTTTTCCATTATAGACCCTGAAAATGCCCATAGGAGAAGTGGTCAATAACATACATGTATTATCATACATATATATTAAATACAAGGTTTTGAACAACAAATTACCGTTGCACGTTTAAATATCATCCTGAAATCCATGTGGGTCACAATTATACCAATTACCAGTGACTTGGATATTTTTACAAAAAAAAATTGGCAAGGCTTGACTGACATTACTTGGTGGTTCAATATTACACAAAGGACCTTAAATCAAGTTAGAATTAAACATATCATAGGAATCTAATGACTACAAAATTTTGCCTACTTTCAATGAAAAAAGCGTTTAAAGATGCCATCTAACTCTGTAAACATAATCCACAGCCACTGAAAGTGTCAAATAATTATTGTGAATCTAACAACAGTGAGTGTTTCATACCAAATCTACACAGTTTGAAAAATCAATAAAAAACATTGTTTAGAATAGCTCATTGTGTCATCTTCTACAAATTCTGTGCAATTTCTGATAATTATTTTTCACACATGAGAGAAGAATTCAATTTGTAATCAGACTCAGAACCAGACTAAAAAGAACCAAGCAGAATTAACAATAACTCTTCTAAAGGCAAATCTTTCTTTACAGTGTAGAAAATTCAGTTTGAAAACTCTGATTTTCAAATTATAGAAATTTTTAGAATACTTAGAAATTGTCACACATAGTGGTAACTTTCAAGTCACTTTAAGATAGCTTGCAAGTAACTGATGAAAACAAAAGATATACAATGTACTCAAAATGACAAAAGAAAAAAATCAAGAACACCTGCACTCCCTAAAGCACAGGTGCAAATTTACATTTTGAGATACAGTACATTCAAGTGTTTGTCATAAGGATCAGTTTCCTGACTCTTCATAATGATTATATTAAGTAAAAAACAAAATTTCCCTTATAGAATAAATACAATTATATCCTATATAGTGAGAAGTTGTACAACCCTTTCTCTTCTTAAAAGTATAATTTTCCACCCATTATTCAAAATATAAGGCATTTGTATAATGACAATTAAAGACACAAACCTAAGATGACTCACAAGAAGTTAAATTTTCCCTGAATTTTGATGAGAATTATTCAGAGTTCACAGATGAAAAAGTGATATCAAGCTGACCCAAAATTCTCACTCCCTAATCTCCTGTAAAAATGAATTTTTATTCAAGGTACATGGACACCTTCATTAGCTGGCTCCAAACCCCAAACTTAAGCCCATTTTTCACACAAATTACAGTTAGCACAAATTTTAGTTTACAATTACATTAATTTTTTAACTCTTGATGTAGGAATTCTTTTCTACTATATGAAGAAAGGAGACAAAGAGACTTTTCCATGGTGGAATCTTAACTTTTCAACAGCTATGAAACCTGGGCAGTCACAAAGGCATTGCAAGAGAAAAAAGGGTAGTATGACAAAAGAGGAACTTAGGGAAGGCTTGATATGAGTGTAAACAAAATATTTTAGTACTCTCTCACATCGATATTAGTTGGACATTGCATACTACATACAGAAAAAGGGGCAACATTTAAGCTTGCACGATGAGATTTGTCACAAGAACAAAGGACCATACTCATAATAAAGTACTAACTTTGATTTTAGGAGATAAACATGGAATTTATTTCATTTGAGCGATTATTCCTAGTTTTATTTGAGTTGGTTCCCCTTCAGTGACTTTTCAATACAAGAGACGACAATAGAAACAGCTAGGTCTCTGGGACTCAGTCAAGGGTGACCACAAATGCTTGAGGAGTTTTACTTTAACAGACTTTTAACTGTCTTTGATGGCTAAAATTATCACCTTTTCAAATAATGACTTTGTGTCCTAAATGTCGATGGATAAATACCCACTTGGTTTGTAGCTGTTAGTTTCTAGTTATTGTCTTCTTTTTGTGTAAGTGTATTAGATTTAGGGGATAGAGGGGATAGAATGCTTAGTTTTTGAGGGTTGGGTTGGTATTTAAACCTAGTACAGGACTCGTGCCCTACTGTTTATATACCAGTACTTTGTACAAATCCTTAAATAATAATTATAATAATGATAATAATAATAACAGTTTTTAATTCCTCATCAGTGTTAAACCCCGTGATACCCTCTTGCTAATTTCGCGCTTTGCTACATCCTCCTACAACACACTTAGTCAGCATATTTGGGACAATATCAATGACAACCTTCCCAAACTAGTGAAAATGTGTGAAATGCAGACTTTCGTGTTCTCGATTTGACGTCACATTACCTTCTAAAGCCATTCCTCTTTAAACTCGGTCGTGAGCCAAGATGGCGGCTGATTTTCCGTATTTTGACTGGGCACAGAAAATTGAAGATTTGAGCAAATAAAAAAATATTGGCACAGAAATACTCCAAAAAATACGCTTATTTCGTTGAGTGAAAAAAAACTCTTTGGGTTTAGGTGCACTTTAATGGAGTTGACCATTTAATATAGATGAAAATTACAATAATTGAAGGGGAATTTTTCAGGACTTTGACAACCCAACCACTTAATACAGGGTGACCACATAATACAGTGCATTTTCATACAGGTTCAACTGCATCTCTTTACAGTACATTCTAGATGTACTAACCAAAAAAAAGACACTGGGTTTACAACCTTGGCCTGACTCACTAACTCTTATCTCCCCAAATCAGCTATACCCAAAGGGTTGCTGAAAACTCTCTCTCTTCAAATTGGAATTGAACAATCAACAACTGTTGTACAGTTTATTAACCCGGTATCAAGAGGACACCCTACAATGATCAATCCTTTAAGTCCCAAGATCTGATTGTCAATTCTCCCCTCTAGCTATTACACATCTCCTTGAAAATCAGTTAGGAGAGGTTGGTGTTAGATCAGGAAAAAAATTTCTACTGGATAAGGTTATAAGTATTCTGACTTATAACCTGTTTGCTAAACATTGTGTATGAATAGTACTTGGAGAGGTCACAGTTAAACACCTGTGGGAATTGAGGGGTTCAGTTGATATTGCCAGAAGTTCTTTGGAAATCTGCTTTTAAAAATAAGGTGACCTGTAGCAACCATGAGTATGATACTATTGCATACTTTTTATACTCAACTCTCAAAATTCAACACTTATTTGGTGAGAGAGGTTCTAATACAATGGTGTTCACTGCATGAAGTAGTCTGTCAGAGAGTTTGTTAAGATATCAGTTCAAATAAACTCTGAGGGCAGGTAACCATTATGTAATGCACCCTGAATCTAAATCATTGGATATGAATTGTATCAGTCACCCAGTTAACAATATGATAAAAAGAAAATAATTTAAATACTGGAAAATTATAGACCAACGATCGACAAGGGATGTGAAGATCTTGGACAAGGAAGAAGACTGGGCCAGAAGTGGCATCAAAGAAGCTGTTTGGGAGAGGGTAGAGGACCCTTCTTTTGATAAGAAAGGGGGGTTGCCATCAGCAGCCACTTACAGAGACAAAATTTTGAAACCCCTGTGCAGATAGTTGAATGAATATCTAGTTTAGTGTAAAATGCTTCTTATACCCTCTTACATATAGCCTGAAGAAAATTATCCCCTGTACCAATCAAAAACCTTTTACAAAGTTACTGTATGTAAACCCAAGACTTACAAAAGGCTGTCAAACAAATCAGGGTTCTCCTTTTAGACATTTACCTGTAAAATTTACCACCTGTACATGTAGTACCTCTTATTATGGCCTAAAATGGTTTGGAATTCTCAGAAATTTAACAGGTAAAATGATTGCTTGACTGACATTGACAGTGCCATAAAAATTTGGATGCTTCCAGAGATTTTTAACTTACCATTCATCAGTGGAAAAAGAAGTACTAGTTTTACTTAACACAATGCAGTTCTGGTCTTACACTCACCCCTGAATGTTTAGTTTTTAATTCACACATTATTGTGCATCTTGACTTGCAACAAATGAAACAAAATATCTAAATAACTCACCCTTATACACAGGAAACAACACATTTTGGAACAATGAGGACAAAGTCTAGCATCTCGCAGCTTCTCCATGCAAATAAAGCATCTAAAAACCTCAGCCAAACTCTGGAAAAATAAACAGAAAACAAACACATGCAGATTGAGTAACTGAGAGGTGGCTATAATAGGCTCTTCAGAGAAAAATGATTAACAATAGGAAACTTAGGAACAGATTTTTTAACACAGTAAATGGTGACCTGATGGAGAATGCAACTATACATGCACTTCTAGCACAGCTTGACATCAACCAATTAACTGAGAAGTCTTTGTTTTTAGTACTAAAACGAAACAGTACAAATTCTTAGAAAAAGAAATTTCAACTTCCAGCTGCTGTCAGCCTTTTGAAAAAACTCTCTTAGTATTTCCTCTGAGGTGTCACTAAAGGTGACTTCAGTGCAACTGGTCTGAAGGTGAGTCTGTTACAATCTCAAGGGCATTATAACAATATTATCATTACTTTCTCAGGCACTGTGGCACATTTTCTGGGCTA